TTCTTTCAACAAAAGGTTGGCGTATAACACAAGGGCCAAACCAACAAAAATAAAAAAATAGTGAAATTTAATGAATATTCTTATTTAAAATGAAGATATTATAAGTAAATCAACGTAATGATCTTACCTTCAATTTGCATGGATATCAACTAAGGTCGGACGCAAACAGCCGGTCTTTGGAAGTAACGGTAACTGGGGGTTAACTCTCACAAGTATACTATAGTAATATGGCTTACCGTATTGAAGGTTGTAATCGCTGAAGGGAAATCAGTTCCAACTGTTTAAAGTGAAAGCAATCATCGTTTACTGACCAGATAGATTGAAAGAAAACATCGGYGTTCACAGTCTTGAGACCCATGATACTTGAGACTATTTCAACTGAAAATTGCGCGCTTATGGCTTCCACACAAAGAAATGACCTCAAAGTCGGATAAATAGAAACACTTGATCGATTACAATCACTCTTGAACAGAATTATACTTTGAGTGGCTAAAGAATGTTGTATACTGCATGAATTTTTTTTTTAAGTCTAAAATCTCCCAGCCAGGAACATAAAAATTCAATTTGCCAGCCAGACAAAAAATAGGATGTAGAGCGGTTATTTTGTGGAGCGGTGTCGTTGGGTACTCTTGGTTAGGTGCTTCTATTCGCTTGTTAGGGGCCTCTATACGCTTGTTAGTTAATGCCATATATGAAATACGTACGACAACCCTACCTCAAAACTTTTAAGTCAAAACTTGCTCAAGCTTTAAACTTTAGCTGATTTATATGCGCTCTATCAATCAACAACAGATTTTTGTAAGATTGTAGCACTTTTAATAAATTCGCTCCCAGGCTCCTGCTCGTTTTGTTATCGGCCAATACATCCGAATATTTGCATTTTATAATTTAAATTTGTAAAGATAGATCGAAACGATCACTAATTTTGTGTTAAAGTTATTCCACGCAGCTGAAAACACCGGCTCCCAAACAAACAACATGGGAATTTCAGATTTTAGCATTTATGGTATACATAGTCATGTGATATATTGTCTTGAAGGGAAGTCACTCGTGAAATTTATTTACAGGGACATATTGTCACATTGAACTGAGTTATCAGTGTGACTGTATTCTTCAAACTGGACTTCTCGCTTGTGGAAAAGGCCATTTTTTTTTTTGATTAAGTGGACAGATTCAATTTCTTGTTTTTGTTTTATTGTCCGACAAAGTTTTCATTCGGCGTAAACAACCTCGTTGTATACATATTGAAAATATTTGTTCACATTGTTAAAAGTCGTTTATCATAAGGTAGGTTCCCAGTTTAGTGCCCAGGAGTATACCGACAGGACGGGCAGGTCCTTATTCAGATTAACAGTCCGAAAATAATTGCACACGCTGATACTTTTGCGTCAGGAGGACTCCATACCAAAACATTAAAATCATTCGGTTGAAAAGAATGCTAAGTTTTTTCGTTATGCAGACATTGTGACGCCGCGTGGAAATTTGTCCATTTCACTTGAACAACCCTGTGTGTCTGATATCCTCGTACCGAGTGCTCTCTCGTGATGCGGACATTCTGGCATATGAAATTATGACACTCAGTGGAAATTTCTCCAGTTCACTTAAGCAACCCTGTGTTTCTGATAACCTTGTACTGGGTGTTTTTTTGGGGGATTGGGACATTTTGCCATATGGCATTGTACGTCCAGTGGAAATTTGTCCAGTTCACTTAAAACAAACCTGTATGTCTGAAACCCTCTCACCGAGTGTCATTGGTAATGCGGACATTTTGCCATAAGACATTGTGACGCGCAGTAGAAACTTGTCCAGTTCACTTGAGTAGTAAAGGCAGCACCAGCAACACCTGGTGAGGGTTTGAGGACAATTGAGGACCGCTTGATTCGAGGTCCGCTTGATTCGAGTAAAATAATTTTATTAATACATTCAGTGACATCACCTCTTCAGTTGAACAGGGTGCGTATAGAGTCATGAATCGAGTAAAAGATTCATTGCTAATATATTCATTTTCGTGGGCCTTTCACTTAATCTCCGAACAATAGTCCTTTTGTTCTCTATTATTTTGCGCAAGTGGCTATTTATTGCTTCAATCTGGGCTGTTAGTCACTCGGCGCTCTGACTTGCAAGTAATATTGAGAATTTGTTAAACTAACATCGCTGATAAATCAAATCCGGAGATTGTAATATGGACGAGCTAAACCGTATTTTAAAGCAATCGTCTAAAACCCATCAAGAAACCATTTCAGCAGAAATATTGAGTTTGCCTCGCAGCTTTCATGCTTTGTGTTTTGAAAACAATAGTTCTTTAGTTAAACACCAAGAAACAAAAGAATCTATGTGGAATTACTCATCACGACCATGTTTGAAAGAGGATATTGAGAAATATTTCAGTCGAGCCCAGGAATTAAAATGCCGTATGGTATTATAGATGAGCTTGAAGAATTTCTGTTTAGCTTAACTGTAGGGATAAAACCTAAAGAAAAATCTTTGACACCAAGATTACGAGAAAAAACAGTAGCTCAAGTATTAGCAACCTATCAAGATTTTATTGCAATACCAAATAACCGACAGCTATCGAACGTTGTGCGAAGAAATGCATGACTCATTGGTAAGAGTTCCCGAGATGGGGTATCAAAAGAGAGCTTCGATGAGCTGGTCTATGTGCTTTCTTCCGTCTGACTTTCCACTTAAAAGCTTCTCAAGTTTAGTGCTGTTGTACAAGTAATGAATCCCAGTGCCCAAATTTGTTCTATAAAGAAAGCAAGAATATTAAAGTAGAGGTTTTTGAAGAAGCTCATGCTGTGTTAATAGCAAAATCTTCACTGAAGATTACACGATCAAAGAAAGATGCATTAATACTATTTTTGTGATGCGATGCATGTTAAAATGAAAGCAAGGATTAAACAATTGACAAGAAAATGGCGTGTTATATTTATAATGAAAAGCCTAGCTTTATTTCAAATTTCAACGATCGTATAAATTATCATCTGGACAGTACCAAGACAAAAGGTTAATGATTGCCTTTGTTCTGAGACTATAGCTCACCTCCTAAGGAGTTTTAATATACAAAGTACTGTAATATTTTTTAACTTTTTCTATATTTCTAACTACTAGTATCTATATTTCACTTGTTTCATACTATTTTGAAATGCCAAAGGAATAGGATCCTTTGTTGAAAATAAAAAAATGAAATAAAAAAATAAAAAATAAAAATTTTCATCTTTTGCTCAACGCAAATTACGTCTTTTATCTATGCGTTTTTGTTAAGGTATCAATATTAAGCTAGTTTTTACTTCTTTTAAGTTGAGTTGTTTATTTTCAACAAAGGATCCGACCTATTCCTTTGGCTCTACGATCAGGTATAGTTTACAAGTTTACTTGTGCGAGTTGTAATACTCGTTATATTGGTGAAACCATTCGCCATTTTTCAAAACGTATCAATGAGCATAAAGATAAATCCTCTCATGTTTTTAAGCATCTAGCTTCTTCTTCTAGTTGTAAAAATGCTGTATCTCCAGATTGCTTTGAAATTTTAGACACTGCAATTAATGGTTATGAGCTAAAAACAAAAGAAGCTCTTTTTACTGATCAATCATTTTAAAACTGAACTTAATACTCATGTCAAACACTATAATACCCATATCCACTTGTAATCTCATCTCTTGTTTTAGTTTACTTTTGACCGTTGTAATTTAATCATATTATCTATTAGTACTATATAACTGATTGTAAAATGTATTCACATTCAAACTGAAGATGGCTTTATGAAAGTCGAAACATGTCTTTGAAATTTAAAAGTGTTGTGTTATTTTTAAAAATTATTGCATTACTTGTGCTTTTACGCTCACAAGCATCCTTTGACTGTTGTACTTTATTTACCACCGCTCTCCTTAAATCACAAATCGAGAAAATTATTATCGTGTCCAGGCCGAAAGCCGGGAACGGTTGTTAAATGTAGCGATCTCTTCCACGTCGCAGTTTAGCAATCCCAAGGTTCGACCCTCGACTGGAGTACGTCAAAAACAAATCTTTTTTTTGCTTCCTTTCTTGCTTTCTTTCTTTCTTTTTTTAACTGAAGTATAGGTGTTCTAGTCATATTAGATTTTTATCGTAGCAATTTGTTTTATTATATTTACGAGCCACGTTTGCGACTTCGAACAGAGGATCGCGGCTTCAAATCTCGTCTCGAACCGAGCACTTTTTTTCTTTCTTTCGTTTTAAATATAATATAGTTTTGTTATTATCATCTTGATTTTCTGTAGATTTTTGTATATTTGTAGATGCATGTTTAATAATTTGTTTTTTTGATGTTACACATGCAGAATATTATACTCGAATAGCGTCGAAATCATTTTTTTTTTCTTTCTTTTTGACTGAAATGAAGTTCTTATAGTCATGTTGATTTTATTCTGTAGATATTCGTTTAACATTCATTTTCGAGCCATTATTTTAATCTTTAGTGCAGACTATCGTAGTCGAATGGCGTCGAACTTAGGATAACGGGTTAGATTCTCGACTCGATCACTTCTAAGCAATTCTTTGTTCTTTCCTTCTTTCTTTCAATGAAATATACTTATTCTTATTTTCCCTGTAGATATTTGGTTTACATATTTTACACGCTAGATCATACTTGAATAGTGGCGTTGAACTGACGATCTCGGGTTCGATTCTCGACTTCTCGATTTCTTTCTTTTTTTAACTTTCAAATATTCTCGTTCCTTTTTTTCTTTCTAAAATAATTTTATGGAAAGCAAACTTTCATCTTATAAATTATCTGAGGATAATGCGAATGCAATCTGAATGCTAAATTTTCGCTGTAATGATAAAAATATTCAAAAGAAATGACGTGAAAAGATCATACGCAAAACTATCAAATCGATCGCGGCGCTGGTAAAAATATATATTAGCGTAGACTGGACACGGTATGTTCCACGAAGTGACTCTTCTTTCATTTTATACTTTCAGACCAAAATATTTATTTTTAATCATTTCATTACTTATAGATGGATGTCTTTCATTGGGTTATGGTGAATCACCAATTACTAAGAAACCAAAGGACGTCCCTATCAAGTGGTACGAGACTCCTTCCATCGTGATGAGACGACTTGGTAAATATATACTGATAACTTTTGTTCCAATACTCAGGTCCTCTTGTATGTATCGCTAAAATTACGTCGCTAAAATTACGTTTTTTTCCCTGACGGGTTAGAAAGATTTAGGGCACCAGAATTAGGGCACCAGTAGTTACGTGGAAAAAAGTGAACAGCTATTATGAAAATTGATGCAGGCAGTAAAGTCACAGGGAAGCAGGCCCCTAGCAAGGGGAACCCCTCCCCTCCCCCCCTCCCCTCCTCCTCCCCCAATTTTTGTTTGACAAAAAGTAATAATACATAAGCGAAGTAGTAAAATTATTCAGACCAAAAAGGAAACATCTTTAATTATAGAGGTAATTTATTTTTATAAAATACATCAATAATGCTTGAGGGCTGCGGTTGAGAGCCTAGCAGGCAGCACTTACTACCGCTCTGATATTGTTATTTTTATTATTTCTGATATTATTGTTTTTAGATTATTTTTTGAGTTATTTTATCTGGAATAGTAATTCTTATACGTTATTATGGCTCTGGTCTACTCTAGAGCATTTTTGAAATCTATTTCATCGAATATTCCTGCTAAATGCTGTACTTGTTATGTATTGGGCGGCCTGTGTAAACGCAGGGCCTGGGACAATAAAGCGTGTTTGTGCCAACATGGCGTAGTTGCATACAGTTTATAATATGGTGTACGAAATCGAGTGGAATCTAGCCTCAAAAATAAGGCATCGGACGTCGAAAGTATAAAAGAAATGCCCTCCCTGTCTCTCCTATGTAAGAAACAGCACAGTCCTTCAGTAATGCAGTACCAATTGAAACCTGCTTTTTGATTGCTCCTTAAGTACAGCACCACTATTGTTAGGTTAGGTTTTGTTATATTGTTGGAAGACTTATCTATTGTTTGTCCATTGTTTTCTCAACCTATCATGAGACCCGTTCCGAGCGGTGCTACCTGGCTCCAGTCCTTACAGGGAATATTATATACAACGCCAGTTCTTTTGCTCATGAGTATCGTATCTTTATATATAGGCTTCGATAGGATTTGCCTGAGTGATTTAACTGGCTTTAGAGTTGTCTTGAAGTTATGGTGTTGTTGTACTCTTTCTGAGACACCTTTAACGTAAGGTAGAGATGCATAACCTTTGACTTCGTCATGTTGACTTGAATTACGTTGACGGGCTTTCTTGTACTTAGAGAGAAAACGCTTCGGGTAGCAGTTCTGTTCGTGGAGAGATATGGTTAGGTGTTTCCGTTCTCTATCCTTATTTGGTTCAGATGAGGGTACCGTCTCTGCTCTAGAAAATAGTGTTCTCACCACAGAAACTTTGTGCTGGACAGGGTGGTGACTGTGGAAGTCCAGATATCTGTCAGTGTGTGTCTTCTTTCTGTAAACATTAACATCGATGGTACCATCTTCCTTCACCAAATTAAGGCAATCCAGGAAAGGCAGTCCTCCATCTGAATACCGCTCAACTGTGAAAGTCATGTTATCTTCTTGTTCTTTCAAATGCTTGTGGAAAGATCCTACGTCAGCTTTCTTTATAACACATGCTGTATCATCAACATACCTACGATACAAAGATGGTGGTGTATGGTACGTTGCAATAGCTCTTGTCTCAAGGTCTTCCATTACGAGATTGGCAACAACAACTGACACAGGGGATCCCATGGCAGTGCCGTGAATCTGACGATAGAACTGTCCATTCCATTGAATTTCCGTTGAATCCAAACAAAATTTGAGAAGTCGAGTGATATCATTTGGAGTTAACTTCGTTCTCTCTGGAAGGTCATCATCAGCAATAAGCCTCGCTCTAGCCACGTTAACTGCTACGTCTGTCGGAATGGACGTGAACAAGGAAACCACATCAAAAGATACTAATTCTTTGTCATCTTCCAGCTTAAAGTTCCTAGTGATGTCCACCCACTCCTTAGTGCTTAAAGAGGATTTAAAAGAAATGAAAGATCGAATTTCTGACAAAGTGATAGCAAAGATTCACACCACAGATGGTATAAATCCACGACTGTACTTGAAGTTCCTAGTGATGTCCACCCACTCCTTAGTTTTGCGTAAGGTGTATGTAGAGTTTCCTACAAGAGGAGATAAAAGCCAATTTAGGTATTTAGAAAGTTCGTAAGTAGTTGAACCAATAAAGCTCGCAATTGGACGTAATGGAACACCAGGTTTATAGATTTTAGGTAAACCGAACAGTCGTGGATTTATACCATCTGTGGTGTGAATCTTTGCCATCAATGAATGATTATCGAACAACAGTGCAACAGCTACTCTATGTTACTGAGGAAATCTAAGCGAAAATATTATTCTGATTTAATTGATGAATGTCGTGGTAACACAAGGAAATTGTTTCACAAGGTCCGTTCCCTGTCTAATAAGACTGATAGTAATCCACTTCCGCCTAACGACGATCCTCGTGTACTAGCTTTGACTTTGGAGAGTTCTTTTTCCAGAAGATCGAGCTTTCTTATCAAAATAGACATTGAAAAAATTGTTGTCGAGCCAGCAGTAGTCGACTATCCTAGTTCTCAGGTATCATTGGAGAGGCTTGCTACTCTATCTGGAGAAGAAGTGTCTAGAATTATTATGGGCATGTCCAATGCGAGCTGCAAGCTGGATCCGATCCYAACGTGGTTACTAAAGCTGTGTTCTCCTGAGCTGGTTCCAGTTATTACCACTATGATTAATTTGTCATTTCAAGAAGGAGTTGTTCCAGAAAACTGGAAGATGGCACTGGTAAGACCCATATCAAACAATTGCCTCAGAGAAACATTTATTCGTTTGCCAAACTTTTGCTGACTATATATGGTAATCGTACCTTATAAGGAAGCACGATAGAAAGTTTTTTTCAAGTTTTTTTCCACCTTTTAGTGCTTTAAAATGAATTTTCAACAAGTCGGCCATTATAATTTTGTCCTAGTCCCCTCCCATCCTTGAAAATAAGGAATCACACAGGTAGCCCGCGCGAATGTTAGCAATTTTGATATGTTTACTGAAGAAACAGGATCTTGAGAATTATAGACGTCAGCAACTTATCATTTGCATCTAAAGTAACTGAAGAAGTGGTTGCTAACCAACTCTTCAATCACTGTAAGGATAACGCTCCCCTACCGGTCTATCAATCGTCGAATCGTCAGTTTCATTCTACGGAGAGAGCACTGTTGAAAGTACAGAGTGATATCTTATCTAACATGAACGAACAGGAAGTGACTCTTCTGGTCCTTTTGGATTTGAGCGCTGCCTTTGACACAATTGATCGCAAGATATTGCTAGAAATCCTGGAATCGGAATTTGGTATATGTGGTGATGCTCTTCAGTGGTTTAGATCGTATTTGTCTGAGAGAAAGCAACAGGTTATCGTCAACAGTCAATCCTCCAAGATATTTAATGTTAACTGCGACATTCCTCAAGGAAGTTGTTTAGGGCCCATCCTCTTCGTTCTCTATGCATCACGCTTATTTGAGGTTATCAAGAAACACCTGCCTTTGGTCCATGGATACGCAGATGACACGCAACTTTATGTTTCCTTCCACCCTGGTTCACCAACTTCAGAAGATCTTGCGGTCAAGGCCATGGAAAAGTGCATTCAGGATGTCAGAGCCTGGCTAGTTTGCAACAAGCTTATGTTTAACGATTCTAAGACGGAATTCCTCATTATTGACTTTAGACAGCAGTTATCCAAGATTAACACTAGCTCTATTAGAGTTGGTAACTGTGACATTAAATCGCAGGATAGTGGTAGGAACCTAGGTTCTTGTTTTGATAATCACTTATCTATGAACACCCATATTGGGAAGGTTTGCAGCAAAGCTTTCAGGTGATTATATAATATTAGGCAAATCAGGAAATATCTGTCTGAGGACTCAACAAAGACTCTGATTCATGCTTTAAATTATTGCAATTTCCTTTTGTATGGTCTCCCTCAATCAATATGACCGCTTACAAAAAGTACTTAACGCTGCTTCTAGGGTAACTTGTCTTATTCCTAAATTTGAGCATTTTTTTCAAGTTCTAATGCGGCTTCATTGGTTGCCGGTTAAATATAGAGTCGAATATAAAATGGAGCTGCTAGTTTTTAAGGCGTCACATGGATTTGGTCCAATGTACATCATGGAGTTGATTAATGGTAAACCTGTTACCAGGTATAATTTAAGATCTGATTCTGAAAATTGTTTGCAAGTTCCTCGTGTAAAGTGTAAGACTTTCGGCGAGCGCGCATTTGTACACGCAGTACATAGTATTAATTCTTTTAAAATAGGACTCAAGACTCACCTTTTTAGAAAAGCGTTTTTTTAGGATATTATTTTAATTTTGATTATAACATTTAACACGAGTAGGCTCGAGATTATAATTCCCATACAATACGGACGCGAATGTTGTAAACGACTTATAAAACTCCAACACAAATTAACATGAATTACAGTGAGATAAATGACGAAAAATGACAAATAAGGTAACTGCTGAGTTTAGTCCCTATTAAGCATGCGCAATTTACTGCAACACAGAACATTTTGAATAATTATCCATCCCACATGGAAAGCAAACCATATGTTGCATAAGCGAGTTCTGTTATCCGTCTTTGATTGCTTCAAAACCTAGTGAAGGTCTATGATGCGACACAAAAACTGAGACCTTTGCTAGTGTATGGTTGTCTCAATGGTGACGACCGTGTTGTAAATCTGATACAACCACTACTGGTTGTATCAGATTTACAAGGTCAATCACCTGATTAAATGGTCAGCCCTTATTGGAGCAATAGCTTGTGCATTATTAATAAGTTTTATAAAGCTCTTTAGAATATCTTAATAATTAAAACTGTAAGCCTTTTCAATGCATAAGTATTTTACATATTAAGTCCCAGTCATTAAATCTGCGATCATTTTTTAACTCCTCACATTTTTATATCAAACAAGAATACTGCTTTCATATGTTTCGTCTTTGACAGGAACGCTAGCTCTCTCTGAACAAGTGAAATGCTTAGAGTCTCAATAATTCCTGCACTTCGTCAGCCAACCAAACCACCATTTTCGGCTCAATGAAAAGTGAGCCCCCTCACTTTTTTAACCCTGCTACGGGCCTGGGAAGAGAATAAAATACGGTGAATTCGTGCAAATCGTTATTACCAGGGCAAGGTCCAAAGCTTTACCAAAAGACGCTGGAATAGCATGTTTCCGCGAGTCTAAACCTGATCACTAACTAGTATTTTTCTTAATCGGTTTATTTGAATGCACTCTCTAGAATCTTAAAATAGCCGTTTAATTGTTGCAATGGTATTTTTGAATAAAGAAATGAAAATCATAATTGTATTTTGTTGACAAACAGATTGCAGCAGAGAAGTAAAGCTCGACTACCAAGCTGGATCGCCGCCAAAACCTCCAAAAAAACCTATACCTCCAGAAACTCCGCTTCAGCGATTGTTTACGAACCCTCTTAAGAGATTAAATCGCTTGTTGGCTGAGCGCCAGACTAACCTTATCAATTCAATAAACAATTTTCTCAGAAAACACGTCGATTTCTATAAAAATGTTAAGATATCAAAGATCTCTATACAGGGACTAGGATTAAAGAAATATAGGATAAATTACAGAGCTGATGGTGACTCTGCTTGGCAACCCTACCAAGAGCAGCTTGGAGTTGATAAGGTGAGTCGCTTGTTTAAATTAGAGGTTAAAGGTTGGGCAATAAACTTCGCGAAAATAACAATCCTTTAGCAAAAAATGAAGTTCGAAACGAAGAAGAAGTATGACGTTCCATCGATAACAATAAGAATGACGTCATCTAGACATTTGTTGAACCACAAGAGACCGTCGCGGCAGTGAAACCCCTTAGCTTCTTATTCTGTTTTCTGTCTTTATTATCGACTTGTTTCTTACACTGTGATTGCTCTGAACGAACTAACTACTACTAAATTTCTTACATTGCTTGATATATGTTTTACAACATTAGACAAAACCCAAATAATGATTTGATACTAACTATAAAATATATCCAATTATGGTATAACTCCATACTAAGGGAAGGTCTCCCCTCAGGACGAAATTGGCTGACTCAACAAATATCTCGATAACATGAATTTCTCCAAACTGCGTCATAAGCTTAAACTAAACTACTTGCTTACAAAAATATTATGATAAGGATACTTGAGCATTCCCTATTAATTTTGTTTGTTATATACATAATGAAATTACGCACCAAAACAAATCATCTTCACAAAGCTATAACGCCCCCTATTTGTTGTAGGATTTTTTCGCTCGCGAGAAATATCGTACGACCAATCAAAGGCCAGATACGATGTTTTCCACTAATAAAGAAAATCGTGCCAGTTTTTACATAACCTGATTGACCTTCACTACAGTTTTGTCATTATTGTTTTTGCTTTGTAAAAAACCCCGAAAATATGGCTTCGAACCGATTTGAGCCTTTCGATAAATCTATAAAAGAATCCATTGACGACCAAGAAAATGAAAATTCCGAGAAAAAGACGCAATTCAGTCTAGAGTTGAAAGAAGAGAGGCGGAAGATGGCAGATCTTCTCGAGAGCTGAATATCTATCTCAGTGAGTATTTTATTACAGTCAAAGAACAAAGAACAACAAAGAATATGAACCAAATTCACTACGTTCTTTGATGGTGAGCTTTGAGAGATACAGTAAAAGCCCGCGTTTAACAACCTAACATTTAAGAACCTGTTAGGCTAAAATTTCATTTTTAAGCACCCTTCGCATAAGAACCATTTTAGGCTAAAATTATAGAACAGGTTCTTACTTTGAAAAAAGAACACAGAGAAATTGAAGATGTGCAAAAACTCGTCAGGACACGAATATTTAGAATTTCACGAAAGGCAAACTAAAATTCCAACCAAAAATGATCCTTATAGGGATATCCAACTGGTATTTCCAAAAATGTTTTCGGTCCCAAGCAGTTAAAAATGCACAGTGTTGGCCTATACGCCGAAATAAGACCCGCTGCAATTGAATCACGACGAAACACCGTTTTAACTGGCTGTAAACAACGTAAGAACGATTTTACTGATAAACCGTGGTTCAAAAAGTCGCCAGGAGGTACTAGTACATAATTTTATTTTATTGGTATAAGATTTTCGATACATTTTGTAATTAGCTTAGTTAATTTTAAGCTTAAATTGTGAATCAAGAAAACTGTTTCGGTAGACTTTTGAAATGCATAATAAATGATTACCGTTTCTCACTGGAAAAAGTGATCAATTTCTATGGTATGTAAAAATCATGGAATTCTCGATTTACATGAATTTTACACAATATATAAATTTATTAACAGATCCATGTAATTGACTTCATATTCTTTGTTTTCGTTGATTTCAACGTATGTTCAGTCTTATACGCACTAAAGTTTAGTGGCGATTGAAAAGGTGAATAAACGAAATTTGCTTCGCGCGTTACGTAGTTTTACGTCACTAAATGTAATTAACTTAATTATCGTTGTTCATTGTGAAGACCTTGTATTATCGGAAGGACCATAAGATTTCGAACCATATAATTGTTGGTGATCAACTCTGTAATTCTGATAATTGGTCACGATGACAATAAAGTGTTTGGAACTGTGGTCGTGTTTCAACATAACAAGTACAATTTTTCGATTTTTTCAGTATTTTGTTGTTGTTTGTTTTTTGAAATTCATTCTGGACTTTTAAATTTGGTGTTGGCAAATGTTTTATTGTTTTATCGTCAAAAAACCTGAAGTGAGTGTGGATTTTGAGCCAGTGTTTTTGTCAATGAGGATGATCTTGTTCTATTGCTAACCTAAACATAAATAGAGCACTCAGTTCATGTGGATTCTGAAGCCCCGTTTACACTTGCGATTTTTGCAGCGCGATTGTCGCGCGAAAATCGCCACTTTGTTCTCGTGTACCTCAAATCGTACGTGTAAACAGCCCTGCAATTGTCGCGGCGATCGAAAATCACCGCGAGTGAGTTGCAGCTAAATTTCAAGCATGTTTGAAACTCAGGCGATTGTCGCGCGACAATCGCGCTTCAAAAATCGCAAGTGTAAACGGGTCTTGATGATGGAACTCTCTGATGCGAGCAGTCCAGGTAGTAGTTCTTGTTCAGAGGACTCTAGTGAAGAACGCGAAGACGTAGAAGACGAGAATGGTAGCTCTGAACACGATTACGAAAAGCTTATTAAGCTTTATTCACTAGTATTTGTAATGTTCAGTATATTTTTGAAATCGCTATCAATCGCTATCAATTTGCCATTTTTGCATTTTGAAGATTTTTTCATATTTTTTCTATATGTCTCATGTGACATTTATTTGCAAAAATTGAAAGTACAGAATGTAAGTTTTTTTTAAATGTATAGGTTTATAGGGTTTAATTATAATAAAGAGAAGTTATAGCACAGAAACCATCGACTGTGTTAAAATTAGTGAACAATCCCCCTCCCGCCTAGTCCTCTAGGGGTAAAGACTGAACATACGTTGAAATCAACGAAAACAAAGAATATGAATTATTTAAAAAGTCTTGCATGTCCTCGATAAGAAACATTACTGAACAATATGTAAATTAAGAAACCCTGTTAATGGGGAACAATCGTGTAAATCTAAATTCATTGCATCTTTACATGATTTTACATACTATGGAAATTGATCACTTTTTCCAGTGTATAGTTTCCATTTTTTTACTGCATTCTGCTTCTACAGTCTTTCTTCAAATACTGAGAATTGGAACCTGATAAATATTACCCCTTAAATTATTTCAGATTAAATTTCTATATTCTTGATACAGATATTTGATGCATGGAAAGATGTTGTTATGCCTGTCACCGCTCGATACATTCAAATAGAAGCAGTGGAGCCTAAAAGCTATGTATTATCTCTAACGAAACCAACCTTCTATGGTTGCGCTATTGCAGGTATGAAACGATTGGTCATAAAATAATTTTGGAAAACTGTATTTCAAAACTGGTTGCCATGGAAACATGAATGACGTCATTAGCATAACACTGGCAACAAAACGATCTCTAATAAACATAGGAAGAAATAGAAATTTTAGCTCTTTTGCCTCGGTAACACAGTTATAATTGTGACCTTTAACTCTACTGGAGTGTAGTCCAGTTCTGGCCTCCTTTCGACCCACTCCAAGACTCGCGGGGAAAGAGATTCCGGCGTATAACTTGCATTTGCATGTGCAAAACAAGCCAATCAGCTTAATAGACACACCCTACGGAGGTTAACCATTTACAGAGCAATTCCGGAAATTTTCGGTTCAGTGACTACAATTGTAAGTGGAACACACTTTTCAAGATTATTTGCATAACAATTTTTTAGGGCTGCATTCCGTTTAGAAGCTTTTTGGAACGCACCCACTTCCAGATTTCCAACGAGAATTCCCGGTAAACTTTGGTGCTGGTCAAAATGTACTATATTTACCTTGATAAAATGTCCTTCTCATTGTCTCGGCTGAGTTTAGTTATGGGAGACGCGACTTTGCCGAGGCTGCGAGAAGGCATGAGCGATGTGGCGTCGCAGAAGGGGAGGAGGAAGAGTTAACACTAGCTTTGACCTACCGCCTTGCACTTTATCGAAAAAGAGATTTTTTTCATGGATTTCATATAAAGAAAAATATCACCCTTAGTAGTAAGAGACTACAAGGCTGTTTACAGAGCTTCCACACCACTCGTCTGTGATATCTTAAACTCTGTCTTAGATATCTTAAATCCATTTTTCGTATCAAAGAATTGCCCCACAAAATTTGTCCTTCGTTTAGCAGCCATATATGGTACCTTACCTTATTTGGAAGTACGATAGGAATGGTTTTGTCAATTTTCTCGACTTTCTCGACTCTCGAATGACATACAATTCTTTGATACGTGCCTCCCAAATACCGTCAGCGGCATGTCTCTAGGATCCTTCTCTCCAGAATTGGGCAATATTTCAACGTTTCAAATCCAACCATGCCAAATCGTCATGTTTGTACAATTTTTGAATCCACTCAACCTTTCATCGAGCTTGATGGACACGACTTTTTCTGATTGGACCACAGTTATCATGGAATCAGTTCAAATACTCCCGACTACTACGGGGATTGCAGAAAATTGTACAACTGTCTGCATCCACAAAGGCCCCGCCAAGCCCGAGTCCGAACGAATACAGCTCAGGGAAAACTCGATCGCGCGCTTTTTCGAAGTTTTCAACCAAAGCAAGAAACGCTGCCAGATTTATTTTCAGGAGCGATGCACAGGCAAAGTCTTTCAAGCGTTATCAAATTCCTACACTCCCCGTAGTAGTCGGGAGTATTTGAAATGATTCCATTATAACTGTCGTCCAATCAGAAAAGGCCGTGTCCAACAAGCTCGATGAAAGGTTGAGTGGATTCAAAAATTGAGTCCGAATAGCGTATAAACATGACGATTTTGCACGGTTGGATTTGAAACACGTTGAAATTCAATTCTGGATAGAAGGATCTTAGAGACATACCGCTGAGTCAAAAGATTTTAAGATATTTTCTTCGGCCTTCAAAGACGAGTGGTGTGAAAGCTTTGTAACCAGCCTTGTAGTTTTACTACTAAGGGTGATTTAAAGAAAAATGCTCTAAATCCCTTCAAAACCACACACAGCAATGTTAAATAACATCAACAACACATGACATTAAGGTAAGATTATTTTATTTCAAAAAAAATTATGCCTTGCTTGGTTTGCCTGTCGTCGTTGCAAATATGTTGCAGCGCCACTATATCAGTGCTGTTCTCGATTTTGTCGAAAGTGACGATGTATCAACAATACCGAACGATAAAACTTGTACACAAAGGCCTCAAGAATGTCACAAACCACGCAGTAGTTTATCCAGCAGTAAAGCTATACCTTTTACAGATCTCTTGATGACAAGCCATATAATGTTCATGATAACTATATGAAAACTGAATACCTTGTATTTTGATCCAATTTATTGTAATGGATTAAAGAAAAAGCTCCTTTGTTTATATCCTGTCAAACCAGGACCTTTTACTAGAAAGGTAGAGAAAGGGAAGGCTCTATATCCAAAGTAACATTCATATACTGAATTTTAAAATAATAAAACTTACGTAATACCTAAAAGCGGAGCTCCAATGGCAAAAGGAAGAGAATGATTATCTTGTACTTCTATTTAAAGGATAGCCTTTTTTAAAAGCTTATATTTTATTAGTAGATGTATGCTGTTTAAAGGGATGTAAACACAACATCTTTTGTTGACATGCAAGCAAAATAATATAATAATATATAATAATGGACATATTTATTATATATTAACCTAAAAAAGGCTATGCAAAAGAAAGAATATTTACATGAGAATTTCGGACTTTGTTATTGATTGATTGATTGAAACTCCAAACTCCTCGTAAAAAATTGTCTACAGAAAAAAGCTATCAGATTAGATGTGGAGTTTGAACCCGGGCTTCTCGAGCTTCACATCACAACAAATTGTACCATAATATTTTACGTATTTTACCTTGATTCTTGAACCTCCCATATATAGAAAGTCGTTGTTTTGCATCATCGGCAAAACTAAATTAGAAAGCAACGCTGAGGCATCCTATGACCAACTCGCCTTATTTATTCAGTTTAGAAATACCATCTTACTCCAACAGCATCATACTTATTTCGAACATAAGTTCATCAATCTATAAAGTCATTTAAGGACGTTCGAGGGCATTGCTACTGCGCACGATTTCTGCGCACGCCAAAACCGGAAGTTGTCACGAAATTGCATCACGCAAAACAAAGATGGCGACCGCTCTTGTTATGTGTTTGTGATGTTGTACGTACTTTTCTGAACTTCTACTTGTATGCAAAATGTCTTCACGTTAAAAAATGGGAGATTTACTACTGCTTAAGACTTGATGAGGCGAAAAAGTGTTAAAAATGCTCTAAAAAAATCTCGTAGATTGACAGAAAAAAGGTTCTCGCAATTCAAGATGGCCTGCAAAATCTTAGATTTCGACACGAAATAGGCAAAGGCTAGGTATGGGTGTTCGCGCTTGGAACGAAGATCCGCCATGATTGAGAGTCGCCGTAAGTTCACGCGTCCAACCATGCCCAGCCTGGCAAATAGCATAAATCGTGAAGAATGATAAAATAGATGTAAGAAAGTATTTGTAGATATATTTTTATATTGGAGAGCTATATGTGGTACCATCAGCCAGGGGCACATCTCTAACGGGATGCCTCAAAACCAGACAAAACCAACCATTTCCAGAGAGTTCTAATCCCAGGAAACGGGAAGTATTGGCTGCAAATTGGTGTGGGGTAAATTTTAATACCCCAGATAAAACTCAAACACTGTCTAATTGTAGCACATATAAGCCGAACAGATTTGTAGAAGAAGTTAGAAGTTAAAACCTGAGATAACAATAAAATAATCAAAGAACACAGAACATCGAATCCACGTTTCCTAACAGTGGTGCAGAACCCGGCTATCGATAACAGAATTTGAGAGATTTATTATTTGTGAAATTTATATGAATTTCTCATGACCTTGTACTTTTCGATAAATGTTGATATTAGAGACCTAGACTGTTTTGACTAATGTTAGTTATATGTAGTTTCATGTGTGGTACAACCTCCTATAGTTAATACCACCATCGTCTTATAGTTTTGACTAGCATTTGATGGAAACAGGATATTGGATTAAGTTTAGAATTATAAAAGGACTGACGTTATAGCACTCGAAACACACTACTCATCTCATTGTACCTATTACGGGCCAAGACTGGGGTTGTAGTCTAGATCGTATTGGAAAGTACAGACCAAAGTATAGAAAGTGCTTGAGTTTGGAAGGCCTACTATACAAGCACTCTGACAGCGGCAACTATCGAATACCCCGCCACACAAACCCTCACTTGTAGCCGCGGCTACGGCTACGGGTCAGATACACAGGGATACCAACATATGTATATAAACAACTTTCTCTATTACTCAATAATACTCTTGGACATTCTAAAATAGTACTATTTTATGATGACAGGAATTAATAAAGTAGGATGGAATGTAAGCAAATACTAACAGTTTTAGTATTATCAACCATATCATAATACTTCAGTCAACAGCTCCCTGGACGATTCTTTTACGAGTGACTTTATACATATTTTATTTTCGATAGAGACTTCTTATTACAATTCTTTTTAAAATGACCTCCAATATTAACTTTGAGCATACAACTTAGCGAAAGCGTTCTTAGATAACTTTTACATGTATAGTCAAGTATAGTTTACAACATGAGCGGCCGTGTTGTATGGGAATTACAATCTCGAGCCGCAGGCGAGAGATTGTAATTCCCATACAACACGGACGCGAATGTTGTAAACGACTTATAAAACTCCAACACAAATTAACATGAATTACAGTGAGATAAATGACAAAAAATGGCAATTAAGGAAACTGCTGAGTTGAGTCGCTATTAAGCATGCGCAATTTTCTGCAACACAGAACATTTTGAATAATTATCCATCCCACATGGAAAGCAAGCCAATCTGTTGCATAAGCGAGGTCTGTTATCCGTCTTTGATTGCTTCAAAACCTAGTGAAGGTCTATGATGCGGTACTAAAACTAAGACCTTTGCTAGTGTTGGGTTGTCTCAAGGTGACGACCGTGTTGTAAATCTTATACAACACTAGTGTTGTATCACAGTGTTGTATCTGATTTACAAGTTCAATCACCTGATGAAATGGACAACCCTTATTGGAGTAATAGCTCATGCATTATTAATAAGTTTTATAAT